GCCCTTTTAGCCATGGCACACGCCTGGGGGGGGACAGGTGAGGATGTAAACAGCTGTTAGGTCCCTGAGAGCAGGCCAGTGGAACTGCCCATAGAGGGACAGTGTGTGCCGCCACCCCTTGGCTGATTAAACAGTTTTTTATAGGGGCTGGAGAAATGGCTCTGTAGTTGTTGCTCTGCCAGAGGACCCAAGTTTGGTTCCCAGGACTCACACGTGGTGCAACTGCCTGTAACTTTCATTCCAGGGAATCCAACGCCCTCCTCCAGCCTGAGCACTTACACACATGTGACAGACATACACACATACATACACAGAGACACACACATAAAATACAAATAAAATAAATCTAATCTTTTGATAGTGCTTTTTGATTATACTTTTTGTAGACCTTTGTTTTCTTTCTTTCTTTCTTTTTTCTTTTTTTCCTCCCTTTAACTCTTTAGCTTTTGAGACAGGGTCTCTCTCATCTCTCTTACATGTAGCCCTGGCTGTCCTGCAACTCACTATGTAGACAAGGCTAGCATTGAATCCCAGGGATTCATTGCCTCTGCCTCTTGAGTGCTGAGATTAAAGACATGCTCCTCTACACCTAGTTTTGTTTTGTTTGGAAAGGGGGTTTTAGGTACCCAAGGCTAGCCTTGAGCTCCACGTGTAAAGTAAAATGACCTTGAAAATCTAATCCTCTTGCTTCCACCTCCCCAGTGCTAGGACTGCAGGCTCACACCACCTCACCTGGCTTATGACGACTTTCTACTTGCTAATCAAGGACTCTACTAACCAGCTACATTCCCAGCTTCTCTGTTTTCTATTTTCTTTGTATCACAAGTATTTTCCACATTTGTGCACCCTTTGTAGAAATGTTATTTTTGAAAAATCTAGTTCAGAGGTTGTACTTAAAACAAAACAAAATTTGTTTGAGACGGGGAGAGTCTCAACCTGTCTCAACCTGGGTTTTTTGATTCTTCTGCCTCAGCCTCCTGGCTGCTAAACTTATAAAATTACAGGTTCAGTTTTGCAAATGTAACATCTTTAGACAAAATATATTTTTACAGCCTGGGACACTTAGTGAGTTCAAGGCTAGCCTGGGCCACATAACATGAACCTTTCTCAAGATGAAAAAAAATTCCCCGGGCTGGAGGGATGGCTCAGGGGTTAAGAGCACCGGCTGCTCTTCCAGAGGTCCTGAGTTCAATTCCCAGCAGCCACATGGTGGCTCACAACCATCTATAATGAGCTCTGGTGCCCTCTTCTGACGTGCAGGTGTACATGAAGACAGAACACTGTATAATAAGTAAAACTTTAAAAATAAAGTAAAGCAGGCAGAAGCTTCAAAAACAATTCCCCAAGGCCAGTTCCATCACAGTCACCCTCTGACCCACTTCCCTGCAGCCTTGCCTGACAGCATTCCTCCAAGCTTTGCTTAACCTGTAAGTGACAACTGAGGTCTCTATTCTGTGGCTTTGATTTGCATTCATTTAATTACTAAGCTGAACACTTCCCAGCACATGTGATAGCCAAATTAGTTTCCTCTTCGCTGTTCCTCACCTTGTCTTCGTCCTTCACCCATTTCACCTTTAGGATTCAATGGGTTTTGTTGGTCCTGTTTTATTGTGTCTTCTGACTAATTTCTTTGGGCACTTTAACAATGCTGTCATTATCCAGCCGTATTTCCTACACTGATTTTTCCTACTTGCCTTTCTATTTGTAACCACCGTTTGTGTTTTAACTTGTGGGCCATAGCTCTTTTCATTTGCGACAGCTGCTGTGACTTCTAACCTTGAAAATGCTCTAGAGGACCAGTGAGATAGCTCAGCAGGAAAAGGCGCTTTCTGCCAAGCCTGTAGGCATGTCCCTGGGACCCACAGGGTGGAAGGAGAGAGTGGATTACTGCATGTTGTCCTCTGGCTACCATCCCCCCCCCACACACACACATGTGCACAGGCCCCTTCCTGAACACACATAATAACATAAAAAAGGGGTTGGCGAGAGGGCTCAGAGGTTAAGAGCACCGGCTGCTCTTCCAGAGGTCCTGAATTCAATTCCCAGCAGCCACATGGTGGCTCACACCATCTATAATGAGCTCTGGTGCCCTCTTCTGGCGTGCGGGTGTACATGCAGACAGAATACTGTATACATAATAAATAAATAAATCTTTTTTTAAAAACCACGTAAAATAAACAAACATTAAAAAAAAAGACAAGCCAGATGGTGGTGGCCCAACCCATTTATTCCCAGTGCTCAGGAGGCAGAGGCAAGTGGATCTCTATGAGTTCGAGGCCAGCCTGAGTTCCAGGACAGCAAAGACTACACAGAGAAACCCTGTCTTGAAAAACCTAAATAAATAAATAAATAAATAAATAAATAAATAAATAAATAAATGCTCCAGAGAGACTCACCTCACCTGCTATGTGCTCCAGGCACAGCTCTGGCTCACTGATAATGGGAAGGACCCACATGGCTTTGTAAGAGCCCAGCTTCCCCTAGATCCACACACATCTGTGGCTTACCTGACTTCAAGTCAGAATTGTATGTAAAACAATTGCTTTCAGAAGAGAGAAGAGGGAGAGGAAAAACTAGAAAGGGCTCCAAGAGGAAGCCTTAGCTTCAAAGTTAGAGCGAACTGATCACCGGATGGATGTCCGTCCGAAGTGTGGGCATCCGGTTGCTTTGAAACACTTTACACAGTTTATAATCAGGACTTTCCCCTCAAACCTGTCTCCCTGCCGTGTTCGTGCTGCAGGCTCAGCCCTTGATTGGCCTCTGCACCCTCTTCTTAAAACTTAAAAAGGCACCCATGTGCCTCTCACCTAGTGCTTTCATGAGCGAGCAGGAAAGAATGAACAAATAAATGGTAACACGCCCCATTAATCCCAGCACTTGGGAGGCAGAGGCAGATGGATCTCCATGAGTTTGAGGCCAGCCTGACCTACACAGTGAGTTCCAGCCCAGCCTGTCTCAATAACAAAAGAAAACAAGTGAAATAAAACAATAAGCAAAGAATGATCTTCTACCATGAGTAGATCCCATGCCTGGTATCCAACCCCGGGATACAGGACCTGGATGTGTAAGAGCTGCAGAGAAGGATGGTAACCACTGGGGAGGTAGACGCCTCTGCCTCCAGGCAACAGGGATACTGGAAAAGCAGAGACACTTGTGGTCCAGGGACGGACATAGCCGACAGGGTCCTCACAGGGGTGGCGAAGGCCACCAGAGGGCCCCACCGCGCAGCAAGCCCGGAAGACCCAGGCCGCAGCATCCATGTGACCTTGTGCTCTCCTGTTGGGCAGCTGAACACCCCTAGCTCTCACCAACAGGGTGCGACACTGCACCCTCTGCATCAGCGGGGAAACTGAGGCAGCGCTCGGACCTCTGTCCGGCGGCGCTCCCTGTCCTGGCGGGATCTGCTGTGAGACATCCAGATATCCCGCACCCAGACTCCTTGGCCTGGAGGGAGTGTCCTCCCGAGCCTCGAGTCCAGCTCTGTCTGATGTCAGTTTCATGCCCCAAATAACTTCCTCTCAGGGACACTTCTGCTGCAGCCTCATGTCCCGGAGCCCGGCGGGCGCACCCTGGGCAGGAACTGGACAGCCATCTTGCCGGTCACTATGCCCAGCCTTCCCAGAACAGCTCTTGCCACGCCCAGAAGGTGCAGCCCCAGACTGGCGGCGGGGTCCCTATTCCCTGAGCTAATCCTCAGATGTGTGTGTGTGTGTGTGTGTGTGTGTGTGTGTGTGTGTGTGTGTGTGTGTGTCTGTGTGTGTGTGTCTGTGTGTTTCAGTGTGTGTATGGTTCAGGAGCGTCGGCTGGGGGGTGAGGGGAGTGAGGATGTGGGCAGCCAAGGTGCCTTTATCTTGGTTGAACAAGCACCCTGACCTGAGTTCTTTAATGTCTACTCCCCCATCAGGGTATAAACCAACTTTAGGTCACTGATGTCAGATAAAAAGTAGGTGTTCAGTCTGCAGGGGCCCCTGGGCCCAGGGTTTTTTTTTTTTTTTTTTTTTTTTTGTTTTGTTTTGTTTTGTTTTGTTTTGTTTTGAGGTGGGGGGGCATTGGTCTCCTTTTGGAGCTCCTGTCCCCTCCAGGTTTTTCTGTCTCCCCCTTCTTTCATAAAATTCCATGTACTCTGCCCAAAGTTTGGCTATGAGTCTCAGCCTCTGTTTCCATACCTGTATCAGTAGAGTGTTTCAGAGGCCCTGTACTGTGGTAGGCTCCTGTCCTGTTCCCTGTCTTTCACAGTCAGTCTCCAAGTGGGTTCCCTAGTAAGGGGAGCAGGGGCTGTCTGTGGCATGAACTCAGTGTCAGGTTCTCTGATCACCTCTGCCTGGAGGGGTTGGGGGCAGCCTTGCCAGGCCACAGAGCCAACATAGCCAGTCCTGATGAGACCTGATAGGCTAGGGTCAGATAGAAGGGGAGGAGGTCCTCCCCTATCAGTGGAGTAGGGGAAGGCCATAGGGGGAGAAGAGGGAGGTAGGGACTGGGAGGAAAGAGGGAGGGAGCTACAGCTGGATACAAAGTGAATAAATTGTAATAAATAATAAAAAAATTTAAAGTAGGTGATCAATAAGTATTGAAGGAAGGAAGGAAGGAAGGAAGGAAGGAAGGAAGGAAGGAAGGAAGGAAGGAAGGAAGGGAAGGCTCTTGGATGGAGTAGACTCTGCCAGCTTAGATGGGGTCTATGGTCAGTTGAGGAAGGCATCCGACAGTGGGGCCTCTGTGGTCAGCTCATTGGGAGGAACATCTTGCTACCAGAATCCCAAAGTGTAGAGAGTAAGGGGTCTGGCCCCTGAGGTTCAGGGCCGGGTCATGGAGTTGGTGTCCTGGGCACCTCCTTCCTTCTGAAAAGGAGCCGGGCAGGCAGGGCTGACAGGTTGGGCGGCATAGCCGAGCTGACACTCACCTCCAACATAAAACCTCACTTCATGGAGCCTGCACCTCCGTAGCACTAGGGAGAGCTCCTGCCACCACTGACCAGGGCTCTAACAACCACCAAGCCAGAGAACATGAGGCAGCCCCACTTCCCTGCCCTTCTGCTGCTGCTGCTGCTGCCCCTGCTGCTGAGGTCTGGTGAGTCGCAGGCAAAGGCAGGCACTCCCTCTGCCATCTCTCTGTAGGGACCCCTCTATTCTGCTCCGAGATGCACCTGAGTCCCCCAACCCCTGAGCCTGCCTGAGTCTGAAAGAAATCTCTTCTTCTCCTCAGTGATGGGGTTCCCAGAGAATATGCTCATGTTCCAAATATTCCACCTGGGGGAGCCGGCTGGGAGTCCTGTGGGAGGTCTGACAGAGTATGTGGTATGTGGTCATAGCCTCATCTTCCTGAGGCCCTCACAGTGTCGTGCCCCTAGCTTGGGGCTCCCCTAGAGGCCTCTCTTCTCATTCTACTGCTAATGGAGCCTCCATGCTTACAGGGTTTGAACCCAGGCCTGCAGCAAGTCCCTGAGCTTATGTGAACCGCGGCTGCCAACTGAGCCTAGGAGCCTTCGGAGTCTGGTGGGGGCTCCCAGGGAGCTGGGGACAAAAGCTGCAGGCCACAGAGGGTCCCAGCTCCTGCCTCTAGAGGGAAAAACCACCCCTGCTCAAGACGAGCAGGGGTCAGCGAGTTCTAGCCAGGTGCTCCGCCTGCCAGGTCCTTCCCCGTGGGCTGGGCTCCTCTCTGCCGGGGAAACTCTCCCACATTCCTGGGCCAGATGGGCCAGCCCGGCAGCTATCACACTTCCCTGTCCTCAGTTCACCTTCCTGGGCTAGGCCGAGTTACCCCAGACCATGTCTCAGCCGGGGCTCTGGGGGTAGGAGGACATGAGTGGCCACCTCAGTGGGCATACGCCTCTCCCCTCCCCCATGTCATGGGATGCTTTTGTTCATGGCCTCTAGTAGCAAGAATATAGCATTGAAAGCCCATTTCCATTGGGTGTGACCCGGTGGTAGTTCCCGTGGGTGGATCAATCGAGGTCACCGCCAAAGCAGAAACAGTAGCCTGCCTTTGGCTCACAAACTGCTGCAACCTGAGGCTGGACCCCTGGATGACAACCTTCTCCCCCCACCCCAGGGGATGCTCCTTTAACTGCCCTCTAGCCTAGTTGTTCAGACATCAGCCACTCCCATGAGCCTTGGGGCCCTGGAGTGGACTACATTGACACCCTGGCTTGCGATCTCCAACTGACAGGAAGTGTCTGCCCTCAAGAAGCTGGGTTCCTCACAGCCACTCTGTCCCTCCACACAGTTTCTGTGCCCAGATCCCTAGAGGCAGGCTCTGCCTTCAGACACCTCCCGGGCCTGAGCCCTAGGTGAGATCGAATGCCCTGCAGGAGGACAGAGAACTCAGAGGTGCAAGAGAGACTCCCAAGCCAGACAGTACAAGTGGGGAAGGTTACCCTTGGAGTGTGGGCACTTGAGTGAACCTCACCAGGATTTGTGGAGATTGGGAGCCTCAGCCTGGAAAGACTTGGCTGTGGCAGAGAAAACGGGTTGCAGGTCAGGAGCCTGGCAGGAGGGAGCACGCACAGAAGGCTCCTGCAAGCTCCAGGAGGGAAGAGGAGGCTTGCATGCATCTGTGCCCTTGAGGATGGAGGCAGCTGGGGTAGGCAGCATTTCGGGCTGGCTCTTCAGGCCTGGTGATCAGTTCCAACAAGTCAGGGGGAGGACGGGCAGGGGGCTCTCTCTGCTCACGTTTGCATTGTTTTATATTTTATCCTTACTTGTATGTATCCCTGTCTTTGTCTCTTATCTCTCTCCCTCTCGTGTGTGTGTGTGTGTGTGTGTGTGTGTGTGTGTGTGTGTGTGTGTGTAAGTAAAGGCAGTTACTTGTGGAGAGCAGGAGTTGTTGGACCCCCTGGGTGCTGGGAACTGAACTGGGATCCTCTGTAAAGGCAGGAAATGCTCTTAACCAACCAGCAATCTCTCCCGCCATATATCACATGGGTGCTGGGAACTGAACCCAGTTCCTCTGCAAGGACACTGAGTGCTCCCAACTGCCTGACAACAGTGCTTTGGCTGGCCTGAGGGCAATCCTCCTGCCTCAGCCTCTGGGGGAAGAGTGCTAGGAAAAAGCTATGACCCCCTCCATCCCATGCATCGCATATAAAGGGCATCTTGTGGACACAAGCTCACGAGGCAGAAGTCCAGAGCACAGCCCCTGTGTCCCATGGCCATCACACATGCCCCTATCTGCCTGACACCCTGCTTAGAGAAACACATGCTTCTGTCCTCAGCAGTGGCCACTTCCTGCCCCTCTATGTTCTGCTTACGTTTCTGTGATAAAATACCAAGACAAAAAGTAACTTGGGGGAGAAAGGGTTTATTTTAGCTCACTATTGCAGGTGACAATCCATCATTTCAGGGCCACAGGAACCTCAAACAGCTGGTCACATCCAGAGTCAAGAGCAGGGAGAAATGAGCGCATTGGATATTCGCTTGGCTGTGTTTAGCTCAGTCTCTTCAGCCACTACTCTGCCCACCCCCTCTACTTGTCCACTCACTTTGAGGGTGGTCCAGTAGAGATGGTCATAGTTAGCAAGAGGGCTCAGTCCTCAGGGTATAGAGTCTTGGGAGGCTGACCCTCAGTGGCTGCTAAGCCAACTCTACTCCCTTGAGAGCCCAGAGTGGCCATGGGTGTCTCTACCTCATTTGGACTCTGGGAGAAGTTAAAGGAGACTTGATCATTCTGAAAGACCGAGGGGAGGCCCTGACAGAAATTGTGTAGGCACGGCCTCCAGGCTTTCCTCTGTCATCCAGAGCTGAGCCATTAGTGGGTGAAGAGAAGGAAACAGACTCCACATCTCTAGGGGTTGAGGCCCTGCACTGTCCCCACTTCTGTACATCAAGACAAGAACAGGGGTGCAGGGTGGAAAAAGAGGTCCCTGTGTGGGTAAGATCTCCCTCAAACTGGGAGAGCAACCCACCGGCCACAGTACTAGTTTTCTGACTGTCTCTGCCTGTTCACTGAAGACAGGGACCCTCTGATGAGGCAGGAGCAGGGAGGGACAGACCTTGGCTTGGTAAAGGTGGCTGATGACCCCATTTTCTCACTTCCAGGGGCCGAAGGGGCCAGGGCTCTAAGAGGTAAGTGGGATCAGCTGAGCTGTAGCAGTGACTAGACATCCACAGGAGCATGTATACGCCCTCCCCCTGAAAATGGGGGTGGGGGGAAAGCACAGGAGAGATGTATAGGCCGGCAAAAACAGCCAGCCAGAAGAACTGGAGTTCAGAAGGTAGTGGAAAAAAAGATCTACCATAAGATCAGCAAAATAAACCATAGTAGAGGCATGAGGGACACATGCCAGGATGGATGACACCTTCCTTGCTGGGCCATGACTACCCCCCAGCCCACCATGTGGAAAACATGACATACAGCCATCCTTCAGGGACCCGTGTCCAGCTGAGATGCAAATTTCCCATGTCATGTCAACCTTCCTGACCCTGAGTTGGGTCTTGTCACCTCGTCCTAAGTGAGCGGCCCGAGGTTCAAGGGAAGGCAGAACTAGAAAGGGTTAGCCTGTGTATCAGAAGCCTCTGATCTGCCAGTGTCCGGAGTGGCTCAGAGAAAGGCCGGAAAATTGACAGAAAGTGAGAGGTGGCATGTGGGATTGGGGATGGAGTCAGAACCGTGGCTCCCTCAGAGAGTGATTCATGTCCCTCCAGCCTGTGGGCGCCCAAGGATGTACAACCGGATGGTGGGCGGGGAGGATGCCTTAGAAGGCGAGTGGCCCTGGCAGGTCAGCATCCAGCGCCACGGGGTCCACTTCTGTGGAGGCAGCCTCATCGCGCCGACGTGGGTCCTCACCGCTGCACACTGCTTCTCCAAGTAAGTGGCCCTGGCCTTCCAGCTTCTCACCAGTGGCTGGGACAAGACAGAGCCTGCGCACAACTCTTTTCAGCACTGCCCCCCCCACCCGGGCACCTCCCACCCCCACACCCCAACAAGCCTTGTTCAGTAACAACCACTGTCTTCCAGAACTTTCCTTTAGGGAACTGGAGAGAGAGGCCAGTGGTTAAGAATACTATCTGTTCTTGCAGAGGACCAATATCAACTCTCCATGCCCACACGGTGGCTCACAACTGTCTGTATCTGTTTCCAGGATAGCAACACCCTCTTCTGGCTTCAGCAGGCTCCAGGCACACATGGCGCATTGACACACGTGCAGGCAAAACGTTCAGACACATAATTTGAGGCTTTCCTTTAGGTTCAGCCCTAGGCCTGGAAGCTGCAACCACTGCTCCAGTTCTTGCTCCACCAGCTGCTCTGCTAGTAATACCTGGGGTCCTGTCCTTACAAAGGCTGCAGGCACCTCCCCCGTCACACACACTTCCCCTACCTCAAATCCAGAACTCAGACCTTGGGTCTCAGATAAGCCCAAGATTTGGAACAGAATGTCCCTCTTCCTTACCCCATCTAAGATCACCTGTAGGACCCCCAACCCACACATCCCTGTGAAATACCCAGCTCCAGAATTTCAGGGTCCCCAAATGCTGCACCTCTTTCCTCATGGATCTGCAATTCCTTTTTTCCCTTTATTTTATTTGTTATTGTGTGTTTTGGAGGAAGGGCAGTGTGCATGTGGAGGTCAGAAGACAACTTTTGGGAGTCATTTTTCTCCTTTTACCACAGGTTTTGGTGATAAACTCAGGCATTTAGGTTTGCACAGAAAGCACCTTTATCTGCTGAGCCAGGGGCTGGAGAGATGGCTCAGAAGTTAAGAGCACTGACTGCTCTTCCAGAGGTCCTGAGTTACCAGCAACCAACCACATGGTGGCTCACAACCATCTATAACGGAATCTGATTCCCTCTTCTGGTGTGTATGAAAGCAGAGCACTCATATACATAAATAAATCAATCTTTAAAAGGATAACCTTTAACTGCTGAGCTATCTTACCAGACCCCTGCAATTATTTCAAAAAGATGGCCAGACTGGGGCTCAGAGGCCTTGGCCTTATAGTTGTATTGTTTACAGCAGGCGTTTCAGATAGGACTGTTAGTGTCCTCGCCTTACAAATGAAACTGAGTCACACAGAGTGTGTTAGGTCACTTACCCAAGGTCACCTGGCAGCCAGGGAAAGATGGGAATTAAAGGTAGGTGATCTTCAGTTTCTACAGCCTTTAGTATGGAGATGACATTACTAAGAGTGCAAAGAGAGGTGTCAGTGGGCCAGAGCACCTCCTCCCTGTGGGTCCCTTTCCTCATGGAGGAGGCTATCACTCCAGCTCTGTTCTTCCCATCAGCACTTCAGACATATCCATATACCAAGTCCTGCTGGGAGCACTGCAGCTGGAGCAGCCAGGACCGCATGCCCTGCAGGTCCCCGTGAAGCGCGTGGAAAGCAATCCCCAGTACCAAGGCATGGCCTCCAGTGCCGACGTGGCTCTCGTGGAGCTGCAGGTGCCCGTGACCTTCACCAATTACATCCTTCCTGTGTGTGTGCCTGACTCTTCCATCATCTTTGAGTCCGGCATGAACTGCTGGGTCACTGGCTGGGGCAGCCCCAGCGAACAAGGTGAGGGGACTGAGCTAGGGGAGGCTTAAGGAGGGCCAGGACTCCTGTTGACACTGTTCTACTTCATCTCTATTCACATGGGTGTGGCAGCTGTAAACAGAGGAACTGCTGCACATATGGGAGATGGGAAAGGGAGGCAAGCAGGCCTGGTGGGACGAAACAGCCCCCTGAAGTTCCGAGGAAACCCAGGGAGGGGCAGCGCAAGCTGTGGTTCTTAAGAACCCAGAGCCTCGGGATCCTGGTTAAGGCTGTCCACTGAGCTGCAGGTGACCTTTCCCTCCCCAGACCAACTACCCAACCCACGGACCCTGCAGAAACTTGCTGTGCCTATAATTGACACACCCAGGTGCAACCTGCTGTATAGCAAAGATGCTGAGTCTGATTTCCAGCTCAAGACCATCAAGGATGACATGCTCTGTGCAGGCTTTGCAGAGGGCAAGAAGGACGCCTGTAAGGTAGGGTATTTTGGCAAAGGCATGAGCAGTGGTTTTCAACCTGCGGGTCATAACCCCTTTGGGGGTTGAAAAGACTCTTTGACAGGAGTTGCATATCAGATATCTTATATAACAGATACTTACGATTCCTAACAGTGGTAAAATTAGTTATGAAATAGCCATGAAAATAATTTTATGGGAGTTTAACCCAGGTCCAGGGTAGACTGTGGTTGTTGTAACTGGCATGAAATGAGCAAATGGATTCTGACGGTCCTCTGCTTCCCCACAGGGTGACTCTGGAGGTCCGCTGGTGTGCCTTGTGGACCAGTCATGGGTGCAGGCTGGGGTGATCAGCTGGGGGGAGGGCTGTGCCCGCCAGAACCGCCCAGGTGTCTACACCCGCGTCAGTTCGCATCACAAATGGATCCACCAGATCATCCCAGACTTGCGGTTTCAGGGGAAGGCCAGCAGCCAGCAGCAGCAAAGGGGCCCCCGAGGTTGGCAGCGTCAGGTGGGGGGCTCCGCCAACTGCCTGGCTGCCCACGCAGTCCTGATGGGCCTGGTGGCACTGCTCACTAGCCTCTGAGCCTGCCCAGCTCAGCGGGGAGCCCCATCCACTGTACATTTGTAAATAGTTGCCCCCCACCTAACGTGCTGGTTACCTTTATGTTCACTTTCAGGAAAGAAGCACCAGGACCCTCTCTGCAGGGCCCTAGAGGCCACCAAGCTGTGAGCTGGGACCTCTGTGGACACACCCAAGCTAGGCTGTTCCTGACCAGTTGCCCTGTTGCCACTCCATGACTGTCTCACCAAAATCAATGGCTGTCCCATTCCTGCATGGTGGACAGGACAGATAGGGGTGGGAGGCAGGTCACAAGATGTCAATCGCCGGGCTGCAGAGATGGCTCAGTGGTTAAGAGCACTGTCTGCTCTTCCAGAGGTCCCGAGTTAATTCCCAGCAACCACATGGTGCCTCACAACCATCTATACTGGGATCTGATGCCTTCTTCTGGCATGCAGTGTACATGTAGATAGAGCACTTATATACATAAAAAATAAATCTTTTTTTTTTTTAAAAGCTTGATATTAAAAAAAAAAAAAAACATGTCAAGTACTCTAGTGGGAACCATGGGTGGAGGCACATGCTGTAACCTCACACAAACCTGGGGGTCACCTATGTACCCTCATAACACCTGAGGAGTCCCTCCAGGGGCAGCCTCAACCTTTATGCTCTTGCCTTGATTGGAGGCCCTTTTCCTACTGTTCCATTCCTTAACCTACTTCCCACTCTCTAGTAACACAGGGTGGCAGACAGCAGGCACACACCAACCGCGCTCCTTTCACACTCAGCGAGATGTGTGTCTCCCTAGGCACATCTGCCCACATGCTCACACAGGCCTCGAGTGGAGCAGGCACTGTTATGTGCTGACCGGGTAACTGTTGGCTGTGACGATGCTTTAGTCCCAGCACTCGGCCCAGGCAGAGGCAGGCAGATCTCTGAGTTTGGAGCCAGCCTGCTTAACATTTTGAGTTCCAGGCCAGCCAAGGCTACACAGTGAGACCCTGTCACAGAGGAGGCGGGGGGAAGAAAGAGGCAGGTGGATCACTGAGTTCAAGACCAGCGTGGTCTACAAAGCAAGTCCAGGACAGACAAGACCACACAGAGAAACCCTGTCTCAAAAAGCCAAACCAAACAAAACCCAGAAAGGATCACTTAGCACTCGCTCTACACCAAATAAGCATGAGGAGACCCCCGGGCTCCGCCTCCCACAGGTCACTCAGTGGCTCTGCACACTGGATGTTTGTTGAGTGCCTTCTGTCTGGTCTAAGAGAGGTTGCTTCCTCTTCTACTCTATAAAGGAAAACTGGTGCACTGGCGCTCAGACAAGGGCACAGGGCAGGTTGTGGGGATACTTAGGAACCCCAAGAGTAAGCTCTAGGCCATTATGCTTGGTAAGCACTGGTTACTTGGTAAGCATCGGCTACTGAGAATGACTGCAGAATCATGTGATTTGCCCTAGGAAGCATGGTTCTGTTCAAAGGTGCTGGCTGACGCCAGTTCCACTCAAGGATGTGGAAAGCTGACTCTGGGCCTTGACCCTCTGCTCCTTTGGGCCCACGGCCACCAGCTGACCAGAGGTGTGTTCCTGCCCCAAGCACCACTTTGGCAGAGGCCCAGGCCCAGGCTCTACAGAGTTGAGTAGCTGTGGACCCACTTGGGGATGTCGCCTATCCTGTCTCTCCTATCCCAACTGCTGGTTTCGAAGAATCAGCCTAAGCCATGGCCCAAGCCCTCCTCCAGACACCCTAATGGCTGGCAAGCTGTCTTCTTAGCAGCCTTCTGCTGTGCGGCAGGTCATCATTAGATGACCTCTCAGAGCAGAACCCAGACCCTCACCCCACCCATGTTCCCAGGCTATTCACAGAGCACCTCATGACCCAGATACCTGAGCACTGTACAGGAGCCCCACCCACACCTCGCCCTTGTGGTACCCTAGGGTCAGTGGGCCACCAACCTGGCTGGGTTGGCTGCACGATAGAACATAGGATATACAAGGCTCAGGGTGTGGGCAGCAAAGACATCCCTGTTGACAGTGGGAAGCAAGTCCTGAGGGAACCTGGAAGAGGCTGCTTTCTAGCAGTGGGGAGCGCAACGTCTTGGTTTACCAGCATGCACTTCAGGAGGGACGGCACTTCACATACTTCAAGACATTAACAGTTGCTGAACGCATTCATAAATACACAATTTTATTTACTATTTTCAGGGGAAACTTAGGCATTAAATGGTAAGCTGATAAAACACGGATACCTAAAAAAGTATAAAAGTATAAATATCCCCTTAGAATTTTAGTGAATTAAGTTTTAATATCATTAAATTAAAAAAAAAACAAAACAAAAAACCCACAAGCCTATCTATTGTCAAGATCATAAATCAAACAATGCTAAGTGTCCAGCAACTCCCCAGAGCATTCCCCACGGCCAACGGCAGAGCCACTGCCCCCAGAGTGTGCTGAGGTGCAATCAACCCCATAGAAAGGTTTTTATGAATCATTTAAGCCAAACATTTAACAACATACAACAGACCTTAGGAAAGGAGGTCAGTCCTAGATGCTGGAGAACTTGACTAATCAGTTACTGGCAGAGGAGAAGGAAGAGGGCATAGGCAAGAAGTTTCTGGAAGCATCTGAGACAGTGTTAGAGGCTCTGACCTGCACATGGGCAGCCATGGCAGTCAGTCTGCACAGCCCCCTTGGGAGCCAGGGGTCAAGAAGCACAGAGCTTGCTTGCTTGGGCCAAGTTTGTGGCCTACCTCACCCCTACCCAGCTGAGAAAGGTCTGTTTCCAGCCAGCAGGCGCAGCCTCTGCAGGAACCTCAGTGGCTCCAATGTCAGATGAACAGAGCCCATGCAGGTTGGACAAGTCCCAAACACTCCAGAAATACAAGAGAAGAACTGCATAGTTATACAAGGAAGTGAGAGCCAGTGAGAAGGAGACATGTTTGCGCTGTAAACATCCTGAATGTTCAACATGACCTGGAGTGTGCGCTCCAGAAGCCAGGTGGACAGGCCTCCCGCCCCAGCCTCCATCCCAGGCACAACGAAGGCACTGGTATGCGCCAGCTCCCCCATAAACCCACAGTGGGACATGAGGCAAAACCTCTATCTCCCTTAAATGATTTAACAGATCAATCCAAAATGTAGCAACACTTTTAGGCATTTCTAAAGAGTATAAACACCGGGTGGTCTATCCATACTTTTAAAAAAGGGATACAAAGTCCTCTTGCCTGGAAAATACAAATTGAGAAGCCTTGATGATCCCGGGCCAAGCTGACAGGCCAGAACAAGAGCCTGGCTCTGAAGGGGTGTAGTCCAGGGGAGGAGCCCAGAAGTAGTGATAACGTAGAGGCTGCCTTTGTCAGGAGCCTCAGCTGAGGTCGAGAGAACTCAACCAATCATGCCGGGAGGCAGAGCAGCCTCCCTGACCCAAGGATGAGGGCCTGGTGCTCACGTGATGAGCAGGCACTCACGCCCTAAGCCACAGTGCATGGAACAGGAGTTGCGGCTGCCGCCCCTCCCTCCTGGCAAGGCCCAGGCTGCTTGCTGCAGACCGTGTGTAGCACCAAGGACCCTGTCCTTCAAATCACCTTCAGGAATGCACGGGCTGGTCAGCAGCATCCTGCCTCAGTCCCACATAGCACTCAGAAAGAACAGAGCGAGGCCACTAAGCCTGCCAACCCAGCCCTAGCTGCAGCCCCACGGGGAGGACTGGCTTGACAGCTGGGCTGTCTCTCGCCACCCACATCTGAGGCAAAAAAGGATCCACACCCAGATCTCTAGAGAAATGATCAAAAGCAGGTTTCTTCTCACAGCCATGCTTTCTGCACATGGCGGTTCACTTTATCTTGGGAAAAAGAAAATCATTTCTTCAGCTGTCAGTACTCCTCACATCCTTGAGCCCCGTTCTTGCAAAATCTGAAAAATAGAAAATGTAGTGTGAGGATGTAGGCTCTGAGCAAGTGCCCTCTCTGTTCAGAAAGCAGAGCCTAGACTTGCTTGCCTCAGAGCTCAGAGGGAGCCGCAGCTGTAGGCAGGGCCGCAGCTGGCTGATAGACAGACTTGCACAGTGACAGCGCGCAGCTGGCAAGAGCCTCCAGGCCCCTCACATCCAAGAGATCAACCCCATTAATGACAAGTAGGTCTGCACCCTTTCACTGATCCCAGCCCTTGGCTGACATCAGAAAACCTTCCCAAGTCAGCTAACCTGCAGCACCTGCTGCCTTCTTACCCTGTGGTCCCACTCTGGCTGGAAAATAGGGCACCATCCTGGCTTCCTTAACCAGTACACCACGGTAAGCTGCATATATCTAGCAGGGGTAAAGTCTCTGGAGGCCTTCAAAACATACTAGTGCTGGGCACATGCTGCTGAGCCAAAACCCAAAAAATGAGCCTCTAGGGCTGGGATATGATCTGACTCCAGGCAGAAAGCTTCAGAGCTGAGGAAACCTCACAGGTAGCCATTTGGTAGTTGCTCACAACTCTGAGCCACCTTACCTAAGTCTGGGGGGATATGTGGAAGGGCTCAAAAGAAGATCAAGTTCTCTCACGTTGCTCCTACAAGGCCACCAGCACCCAAAATGCTGTGCCTGCCCTTAGGCAGCCCCACTAGGCTGTGGGAGACCTCATCACCACTGTGGTACCTCAAGGAGCTTCCCAGGGCTAAGAGATCATGCTGTTCCTTAGCCTGACAATGGCAAGCTCCACAAGATGGGTAACTTCTGAATGCTCCAGGACAGCTGTAAGTGACTCTAGGTGCCACCCTCTTACTAAAGAATCATGATCTCAGTCACCACAGGTGAGCGTGCAGGTTTGCAGAAGTGGTAATGGGAGTGACAGTGTGAAATCCCGAGGGGGCTGAGCTCCACCAGGACCTATAACAGCAAGACCAGCATGCCACACGCTGAGGCTAGGCAGCGCTGTCTGCTCTGGATAGTGCAAAGACTACCTTACAAATGCTCCTGCCTTTCTGTCTCCACAGGGAGGCAGGGGCATGCAGTTCCTTCTTGTGAACTCTGGAATCTGGGGCCTGCTCCAGGTTTGCCTGTGGGAACCACTATTTTGTTCTCACAAGTCCAGAGCCACCAAAGCTCAGTCCCTAAAGGCTCCCAAGAAGTCTGGGGCTTGGAAAGACGCCTCTGCTTCCTCCAGGGCACCTCGTGGTGACTCTCTCCAGCCAACCTGATGGCAGGTATGGCTCTCTTGAGTGTCTGTCCTTCCTACCATGCCTTAGGTTGAGTGTGTGTTACAGCTCACACCCAAGGCAGGTCACAGTTCAGGGTCTCCTACCCAGGTGGCTGCAAAACCCGTCTCCAAAGGGATGTCACAACTGAGGCTCTGAAACATAAACCAGTATCTGATTTCAAACACTAATCTCAGTATGGTTTACAATAAATTATCATCCCTTTAGGCAGGTTATGATGACACATAGTTAAAGCCAGCTACTGAGGAGGCTAACACAGGAGGATTATTGGCAGTAGGAGTTTGGGACCAACTAGCCCAGGCAACAAAGCCAGAACCTCTCTCTTAAATTTCATGTTTCTTTTTACCTTTTAAAAGTATGGAAAGGGTCTTACTGTGGAGACTGGCTGGCCTGAAACTCACATTGATTTACCTGTCCCTACCTCCAGGTTCTAGGATTAAAGGCGTGGATCACCACCCCTGGCCCTCTTACCTTAAAAAAAAAATTAAAAAAAAAAAAAAGTTTAAACATTTATCTTATTATTATTATTAGTGTACATGTATACACACATGTCACAGTGTGTGGAGGTTAGATAACAGCTTTCAGGAATTAGCTCCACCCTTACATGGGTTCTGGGAGTCAGAGCTGGGTCACTAGGTTTGCGACTTTACCCACTGAGCCATTCCACTGGCTCTGTTTTGTTTTGTGAAAAGATTTCACTGCATAGCTGAGGCTGGTCTTGCCTCAGCCTCCTAAGTATTGAGATTGCAAGTGTGTATGACCATGACAGCTTCATGGTGAACTCTCTTAAAGGGTTAGATTATGAATACGTTGAGTGTCAAGAGACAAAAACCTCAGCTGTTACATACATATTTACACAATGGCTTAAAAGTACAACTCTGAGTCACCTGAATCTTAGCACTCAGAAGGCAGAGGCAGGCAGCCTGGTCCAGAAAGAGAGACTAGGATAGCCAACGCTACACAGAGAAGCCCTATCTTGAAAAACCAAAAAAAAAAAAAGTACAACTTCAAGCTGGAGGGTGGTCTTTAATCCCAGCACTGGGGCGGCAGAGCCAGGCAGGTCTCTGTGTGTTTGAAGCCAGCCTGGTCTACAGATCAACTTCTAGGATAGCCAAGGCTACACAGAGAAACCCTGTCTCAAAAACAAACAAACAAACAAACAGTACAACTCTAGATAGCAGGGTGTGATGGTGCACGCCGTTAATGACTTTACTCTCGGCATTTGGGGGGCAGGCATATCCTTGTGAGTTCAAGACCAGCCTGATCTCTACAGTAAAGTTCCAGGCCAGCCAGAGAGCTTACCAAATGAAACTCCATCTCAAAAAAAAAAAGAAGAAGAAGAAGAAGAAGAAGAAGAAGAAGAAGAAGAAGAAGAAGAAGAAGAAGAAGAAGAAGAAAAGGAGGAGGGGGACGGGGGGAAGCACAACTCCAAATGGAAAAAGACAGTTCTTAGTTCCAGAGCTGGGACCTGAGACCATTCCTTGCTTCCAAGATGCCAGCCTAGATGCCTGGCTGGCCAGGTACCTCCCCACACTCGCAATGCACTGGGCTGCCTTTGTGCAGCAGTGAGGACTCCCAGCCTGCAGCAGCTAACTGTCAAGGAGGAATGCTCCTCTTCGGCAATGCTCATGTTCCTACGGTTAGTCCTGCTCCCACCTACTCACTGGCACAACAGGAACCAACAGGCCCTGTTGAGGTGACAAGGCACTCAGGGACTAGCACAGGTCTGGCCTTCAAGAGGCAGATGGTAAGAGGAGGCAGAGAGGACCTGGATGGAAAAGGACATGAGGGATGAGGGCCTGTCCAATCCTAGTGGAGATGGGTGCAAACCTGAGAACAAAACCCCATGGGTTTTCATGTTTGTTGTATCAAGGCTCAGCAACTTATGTGAGGCTATGATCTTATGACTGACAAGAAGGCCACCTACAGGCTGCAGGTAGAAATGAGTAAGCACTCATTACTCAGACCCAGGAACACTCCTGAATTCACACCCACAGCTTCACATGACCCAAAGCCCCAATCCTGCCCTTGGCATCCATGGAGGGACACTACGACAGAGCAACAGCCAGCGTTCGAGCCCCCCACGCCTCCTACAAGGAGCTCTAAGCACAACTATCAGTTTCTGTCAACTACAGGATGTACAGAAGCACAGTGGAGGGGTGGAGGTAAAAGTAAGCAGGGGTCAGGGGCCAAGGAGACTACGGTGTTGGGTCTACCTGAAGGGCTGCAGAGCTCACCGTGACATTTACACTTAATCTGAGTCACTGCCTTGGAGCCTCGTCTCGTCTTCGTCACTCTGGTGTGAACAGCAGGAAGTAAGGAAGAAGACAGCTGTCAGCCTAGCCTGGGCAGAGGAGGCATGCAGTGTAGAAAACCTGGGGGAATCCTAGGTTTGGCTGAACTGTATAGTCCTCCACCTGCAGCAGGCACCTGCCCTCACAGCTCCCGGCAGACCAAGGAGCAGGGCCCTGCCCAAGGGGACTTTTGTCGTAGCCCTGGCTCCTGGAAAATGACTTAAAAGACCGTCGACTTGGCTTCATCAAAGGCCCACTGCATGATAGAGGTGGGACCTTGGTCAAAGGATGAGGTGATACTCTGTGTCACACAGGGGAAGGATTGTACCTGTCTACACGGAGGGAGGGTTTTCTTGCTCCTGACCCCAGAAATCTCCTCTAGTAGCTGTACTTCTCTGAGACAAAAGGAGGCCCTGAGCCAGAGTGCTGCATTCTGAATTAGGGCCAGATTGCAGGTCCAAGGGCTAAGGAAGGCTGATGGCTAGTACTAGAAGCAAGGTACTCACCTGGGGCTGGTCCTTAACTCACAGTCGGCTTTACTCCTCACACACGCCACAGTCCTGGGCCCTAACAGCCCTTCCTCCTAATATCCCCACTTGAAACAGGAAAAGACTGTGGCAGCACCAGGTGGCCACCAGATGCTCAGGGGACATCTTCGGACAGGGCTCAGTGTGAACATGGTAGCTGCTGACCATAGAGGACCCCATAGAGGATGGCCCTGTGCATATGGTGTTTCCAAGCTCCTGTGCACCAGGTCTGGCTCCCATGGCCCTGTAGCTTTGGGGACTCTGAAAACTACTGCTGTCACGTGCACTCAGAAGCTGTACTGGCTGCTCTACTTTAGTGTCAGGAATTTTTGAAGTGAGAAACAGGGACATGTTTTCAATAGCAACTTGAGGCCACGCCTAAAGCTTCCTCACAGTTCAGAGTACGTCCTTTTGGCATCTATAAAGCCATGGAAGAGGAAGAGCTTTGATAGAGAAAGATGAACCCTGAAGCCATAAGTTTAGGGAGAAAAAGGTCTTAAAGGTAAGTGTATAAAAGAGTCCTGTCACTGCTCAGAGACAGAAATGTCCTTCTATGATTACTTTAGAGGCTCTTGAAGGTAGGGGATGCCTGGTACCCAAGACCCAAGGGGAAGTTTGCCCCAGGCTGGGTGTTGGAGTTCTGGCTGCTGGGCCTAAACCCTTGCACAACTCATGTCATCCCGTGCTTGGGGCAGCAGTGGCAGGGGGCCACCCTTTACCCCCCTCCACCTCTTATGATCACACAGAGGCTAAGGACAGGAGGTCCAGGAACCCGGGGGGGCTCTGAAGGTGTACTATATCAGCCAATGGCGAAGACATCTGTCATGTCGCAATGTGGGAGCCTGTTGGGATCCAGCGACTGTGGCTTCCTGGAGATCCTCTGGAGAACTCTGTCCCTCAGTGCTTAAGTCCTCACCCTAAAGACCAGGAAAGGCTAAATGGGAAGTCCTAGAAAGATAGAAGTCACCTAGGGACTACTGACTAAGGGTCATGTTGCCATCAATTCCCCAGCCTATCCTCTCCCAAACTCCTAATACCCTCTGGCAATACCCTGGGCAATGCTGCGGCCAATGTAACCTAAGCAAGGCCCTGAGATTCCTGGCTCCCCCTGAGATGACCGCAAGGCTCTGCAAGCCACACCAAATGGCCCCAAGGCCCAGGGATCATCCAGGCCAGGCCAACAATTCACACTGCTGGGACACGTGCATCTGTCTGCCTGAGCCCCATCCATTAGGCATTCGGGGGAAAGGTCACCAAAGCTAGTCACTTGAGAGTACATAAGGCAGGGTGCGCCCTCACTCTTGCCTAACACTGCCCTCCAAAGAAGACAGAAGATCCCAGTGCCCTGGAGGGCAGGACTGAAGAACAACCCTTTACACATTAAACCAAATGGAAAAGACCAACAGTGTGCAGCTGACTCAGCTGCTGTGCTAAAAACCTGAGCTCAGGGGAGTTGCCCTCTACCTGTGTCCCAAGACCTCCCTTGACAGCTGAAGCTGTCCCCAGAGAAAGCAGCCACAGTGGCAGTCCTGATGCGCAGGCTCAGTGCATCAGGCTGAGGCTTGATAGGGCCTGAGGCTTAGGCACTTCTAGGAGCAACTCTGTGGTCTTGTGGCTGTGAACATGTGCTAGAGTGGCGCCTCCAGCTCTGACACAACAGGTGGCTTCATGTGATGATCTTTAGCTACCCAGCAACTAAGAGTTTAAAGGGAACAGCAAAAATAAGTGAGGCAAAAATAAGAAAAAAGCTAGCTGCCAATGTAGGGCCCTTACTGACACTCACCTTGGCCTTCTCGCTCGGCTCACTGGTTGTGCCATATGGGGTGTTGTGCAGCTCCTTGGAAACTACACAGAGGAACTCAGCCTGGTCTTCATTTCCATAGTTGTAAGAGGAGCCGATGCTGACCAGCTGGAAGGGAGATACAGTCTGTGACAACGCGCAGTGGCTCAGGTGTACCTGGCCCCCAGGAGTGAGACCATGGCACACACTGTGGAAGCTCAGGGAAATGAGAGCTAGCTTTAGCCAGGAGGTTCTTCCACAGAACTCCCGGGAAGCAAAGCCCCAGTGCACTGCAGGAGCCCACACCTGCACCCCTGTGTAATTGCACGGCATGCTGGAACAGGTCCTCTCTGCAGACTCTGAGCTTCTCCTGGTGCTCCTGGCTGGGCCCTAGGGGATGACGCCTGGCTACCCTGCACAGGGAAGAGGGGAGCAGCATGCAGGTTAAGGCAGGTGAGAGCCGCAGCCAGAGTTCATGCACCAGCCCAACCTGAGGCCCTACTGCTGGCTGTCCTTGTCCTGACGGCAGCCAACAACCCTCCTGGGGTAAGCTGGACCTCTGCAGACTAACTCTAGTCCCTGCTCAAGGCAGAGAACCCCAGGGCTATGCTAGGAACAGAGGCCGATAGCATTAAAAACACGGAGCACTAAGTGAGGGCCTAGCTTGACTCAGACACTGAAGGTGATGTCTTGCACTTCCGTGTACCCTTGCCTGCTCTGACATGCCTCAGAAGCCTCCAGGTCACCAAGCATGCTACTTGGGCCAGGACCATGCTCATTATTCCAGCTATGAGTTCCAGACAAAGCTGAAAATAGACATCAAGCACTTTCGTTCTTTCAAACACAAAATAACTCAAGGGAAACCACCGTAGCCATAGCAAGCTGAGTAAGCAGTAGTGGCTCAAAGGTCACTATGTGTCTACACATCAGAAACAGAGACAGGAGAGAAATCTCCCGCATGGGCAAGCTACTCCCCTCAGCAATGGGGGACAAAGCAGTTGGAAAGGGGGGGCTACCAGGCGAGACTGCCTGCAGGGGTGTCGGCTGATCAGGAAGTTGTGGGAGGCACTGCTGAGGGGAGCACATACACCCGCGTCTCCCAGAGACTCTGTCTGTATCCTTGCAAGGCAGCTCTATTCTGACCTAATCAATGACCCCTGAGACCCTAGGCTGGACTGGCCACCTCAAAGGGACTGGGTTTCACCCTGGTTCTCTGCAAGCTTGTCAATTCAGTACTAGTCCTGCCTTGGGGAAGCAAAGTGTACCTTACTAGTCAGCATGACTCAGGTTCTCCCGGTTTCGCCAGCAAGAACTGATAGCATACTTTGTGACTGCACAAAGGTCAGAACTGAGGGGAAAGAGGAGTGCCTGTGCTGGTCCGGGATCATCTAGGATGGCTAAGGACAAAGCCTTGAAGGTGATTGTGGGAGGACACTCTCTTCCAGCCAGAAGTCACAAGACAGCAGAGCAAAAGGCGCTTGGCTCGAAATGGGGCGACCCAGTTCACAGATCCAGAAAGGGTGACAGCCACTTTCTAGTGGGTCACGTGCCAGGTACATGAGAGGCAGGCTCTTCTACTTCTACTTCCCCAAGTCTCTGATGTGATTCTGACAGGGTGTGGGCCCAAGACACATGCATACTCAGCCTGTAAGACCTGCCAGGGACCCCAGCAGGACAGAGACCAGGCAGCAGCTGGTGTGTGGGGGCAGGAAGCACTCAGCTGAGCTCTATACAGGAGTAAGTGCTGCGCACAGCACGGAGCAGCCTCAATGGAAGAGCTGGCATTAGAAAACCACCACAAAGTGTCTGAGAGGATAGGGACTAGGTAATGGTCCTGGGATCTGAAGATTCTCCTGAGTCCCCATTCATCACCTGCTCGAACTTCCAGCCGTCTGACATGGTGGACACCATCTGTGTAAGCTCCTCCTCCTGGCACTGCAGCACACGGTACACGTGCTTCACTGGCATCTGCAAAGACAAATGCCCCAAGACATCAGGCCCCACCACGCACCCAAGCAATCCTAACCTCATATCGTCACAGGTCAGTGTCCAAAGCAACCATGAACACACCAACATATCCAACCCACAGCCTCAACAGCTGCTGTTGCAGCTTCCCTGTTCAACTTCAAAAATGTTTCTACTTCTAAATTCCAAAATAAAATGAGTTATGTTCCTGAAATCCTCAGAGCACCTGTGGCTAGGTAGGAATACACAGAAAACATTTGCATGTTCCATGCAGGGCTACACAACCTTTTGCTTAACCCCCGCCCAACAAAGACTCCCTGGGCAGTTCCAGGTAGGCTGTGGTTTTGGATGTGGAATGGGGGACAGTCGAGAGACAAGTCTGCCCTTCCACAGCCACTAACATGTACAGGACAAGTAAGGGTCCTAGGTTGCTGCTGATTTGCTGTTGTTTCTCACTAGTGGTAAACGGGTAACAGCCACACCATGGCTTTGCTGTCACCCAAGTGCATCAAATAGCAATGTTTGATACATTTCTGTGAGGGCTGGCCCTGCCAGGAGAATTGCTTTTACCTCCACTATGGAGACAGAATCTGACGTAGTCCAGATCACATGGTCATGAGTGGGATTCGGATAAAAGGAAAAGAAGAGGCAAACTGAGGAAATGGAGAACCTTCAGGACCTTTCTAATGCCCCGATGAAGAGGAGCCTCCTTCTCAGATCCCTCCCTCCCTGAGTGGGCTGAGCAGAGGGCAGAAGGCTTGGTCAGGCGTGCATTGTGTCCCCCTCCCAGCCATCGGGGAGCCAGAGCATCGTCTAAAGGTATGCGGTGGACAAGTACCTGGAAGCAGCATGGCAGTGAGGCTGGTCACAGGGGAGAGGCAGTGAGAGTTTTAAGTGGACCAAGCCCAGGTGTTGCCAGCATTCACTTTGTGAGCTTGGAGAGGGCGTAGCTGCTCTAAAGTGCAGAGCTAGGTTGCAGATAAGCCCAATGCCGAGCCTTTCCTCAGAGGTGGGGCCACTGCCGACCTCACACAGCACTCACAACACACACTTGACAAGCGCAGAGGCCCAGGAAGCCCAACTCCTCCCAGTGACTGCACAGACCACCAACATCTGTGCCACCTACCTCCCAGCTCACCACTGCTCTTCTCTGCATGCTGGCCACAGGCCTTTGCACCTGCAGACCAGGTCTTGATAGTGTCCCATCAGAGGCCTCTGCCCTCCAGCATCTTCATTCTCCTCACAAGGCCTCCCTCTCATCCATGCATTCACCACACAACTTCCACAAAACTGTCTGTCTCCACTGACGGCAGCAGGCTCCCTGGTAATTGGCCAAACCGAGGTGTATGGATGAGGCAGATAAGGAAGAAGAGAGCAAGGCCTGGGGCACCAGGATGAGGACAGGACAGTTCTGGTCCAAGGCCACACACAGGGAAGCCAAACCTGCTTACACACCAAGGCCCGGAAGCTGCCAGCAGATTAGTCACCGGTCTCACCTGTGATGTTTTGCTGTCTCGTTCTCTAATTTTGTCCTTTACAAGTTTTATTAGTGAGGTGATATTGTAAAATTCTGCTTCCTCCAACACTCCTGAAATAGAAGTAAATAAGTGTGATTTTCACTAGATGTGACCAAAGTAAGTGTTTCATCCCTGCATCCCATCCCTAGCCTGCAGCCCTGTGTCCAGCCAGTCCAACACCCTCACAGCGCTCTTTCAGATCTCTGTTCAACACAGCACTGAAAACGAAGGTCAGGTTACTAGACATACTCATCGCGCTGTCAGTCACTACAGGCAACACTAAAGGCAGCATACCTGCGCTCAGCCCACAGACACTGGGGGATAACTAACACCTTTTCTCTGCAGCCTGGAAGCCTGTCTGTGCTACTGGCTCTTCCTGGTGGGAAAAGTGTAGAAGCCTTAGACTCCTGCATGTGCCCAGTCACATACACCTCATGCTCCCCTGCTCAAATGAAGAGCAAAGCTACCTGAGTCACTCCTGGCTCCAGGGCTTTCCCACTGCCTGCTATCTAATGCCCCACACTCAGGACTCAAAATTTCCCAGAAACTTAAAACTAGATTGCAAGAGCCCCGCTTTAGAGCCCTGCTTTTTGCAAGGCCTCATCTGTACAGGCCTTCATTTCTTTAGCTTCTCACTCCTAAAGGGAAGCCACAGCTAGACCAGGGCAGCTCAAGGTAACACATGTCATGGCAACATGGGAAACTTGGGAAGGGCAGAGTGCAGGGAATGAAGTATGAAAGGCTGCCAGGCAACAAGCGTGGCTCTCACAACCCCAGAGCAGAACTAGGCCTCCATATGACAATCCACACAGTAACACAGTAATCAGAGACTTAATGAGACCCTAAAGAAAGAAGAGCCATGGTAGGAGTTTCAGCGGGAAGTGGCACAATTCAACCCACGCTAACAGACACAGGGAAGGTGCTAGAACCTGTAGGACCTTCTCAAAATGGCCCTGGATTTTCTGAGTCAGGAGAAGCTAGCTTGGTGCTGTGTATCCTGTGGTGTGTGACCAAAGAGAAGGGTGGCCAGTGAGGAGACCATGCAAAATGTCCAGGATCCCCAAGATCTGGAAGAACAGGCTCCACACACCACTCCCCAGGACTTGTAAGAGTATCCACGGGACACAGCCTCTCACTGCAGAAATTGAAGCAGCTCTGGGACCTGGAAGAGCAACCCACACTGCACCACCACGACACCCGACACCGCCTGCAGCGCGGCTTTCGGCCACTTGGTACATATCTCAGGTCCTTCAGCAAAGCAGTCCCTCGCAGAGGCTCTCGCCTGACACGTCTTCAGGTAACCAACCAGCACTTCTACCAGGAGCCAATGCAGAGCTCAGGTGTCTGCAGAAAATGAACAACTCACCTTCCTCTGCGAGGTCTTTGTTAATAACCAGTTTTCCATGTCTCAAGTAGTTCAGTACAGGTCCAAAGTAGGTGGGATCTCTGTCGATTAAATAGGCACCCGTTTCATCCTACAGAGAACAAGATGCTGTCAGTTCCTGTGTAGAAACCAGTAGTTCTGCGGTCAGACTAAGGCCAGAGCACACTCAACAGCACTAGCTGTGTGGGTTCCACCACAGCACATGCACCTCTCAGGGGACTTCCAAGCATTCTGTTTCCTGCATTTTGGTCTAAGGCAGGTCTCAGCTATTATCCAGACTACCTCCCTGTGTCTACTGATCTGAGCCAATCAGGTTATTCCTCCAGCTCCAAAAGGCTCTGAGAAACAGCTAAGAAGGGCTGATACCCACAATTCAACCCCTCATCCCCATCACAGGACAGGACGGCTATGCTGTGTAGGCCGGGACAGCCTTTGACCCTGCCATGTAAGCCAGGCTGGCCTCGAACCCACACCTCCTACCTCAGACTCCTGAGTGCTAGGATTACAGGTGTGTACCACCACACCTTACTCCATGGCTCAAGTCTCCAAGACTCTGGAGACTTAGGCCTTAGCAGCCTACTCTCCTTGTTCCAGAGCATCCTGGAACAAGAAACCCAAGACTGGGCGCCTAAGCAGCAGTACACTGGAAAAAGCACCCCTGCTGCTAACCCTGAAGCCTACTGTTGGGAGCCTCATACAGCAACAAGTGAAGCCTGAGTCAGTGGCATGTTAAAGCAACCACACAGCATACCCTCATTTCCTGCTGAACCACAGTCCTTGGGCTTTGCCAATGACTATAGTCTCTAACAGAACCCTTACTCTGTGGTCAGTGGTTTGTGGAATTTGAGCCATCCGTAGGACAACCTATGCACTCGCCTGCTTGCTCTGACAGGGCAGTAGCCCCACTTGAGAACTGGCAGATATCCTCCCATGCTCAATATACCTATCTCCATGGAGGACATCCTCCTGCAGTATGGGACACATTCAGCCCCATGTGATATCTCACACCATGTAGACTGCTGGACACTGATACACAGTATGAGAGCCACAGGCCTGGCTGGGGTCAGAGGAGTTGTAGCATTGGGGACCAAAAAGGATGATGCACAGAAGCTACAAGAGAACATTCCTGTCTAGGGTGTGGGCCAGTGAGTTTCTGTCACACCCTATTCCAGACCGGCTACAGACTGGCTATAATTTGGGGGCTGCCAAGTCTGACAGGGATGCAGACCTTCTGTTGTGGACCCACTCCTCCACGATGTGGCCTGATACCTGCTTCTTCACATAGTGGGTTCCAAGGTCTCTGCTAAGGTGAGACCACCACCCCAGTTTTCTTACCAGCAAGTAGCAGGGAAAGAAAATGACTCCATAAATTAATACAGCACAGTGGCTTTCCTGAGCAGAACACTGTTCCCATAGGGCTCCTGTGGGTACAGATCATGAAAAAATGCTGTACTCACTGCCCTGTGGGAGCAACTAGCCAGTCTAGGCACAGAGGACACTTTGGGGACTGTGTGTGTGTGTGTTTGTTGGGGGAGGGGTGTTCTCTGAGCTCCTTGGATGTAACTGCCCTTGTGTAGTGAAGCTCATCGAGGTCTCAGCCACAAAGCAATGAACCTTCAGAGGTCTGTCTTCACAGACATCCATTTCTGTACATGGAACTATAAAAGCTAGTGGTTTAAAGGGTTCTTCCCAACATCCACAGGCACAGAATGACAAAAACTTTTTTCTCAGATCAAAGAGAGAAACCTGAGCTGTGGCTGACATCAAATCACTAAGGCCTGGGAGGCAGGGATGATGGAAGCCGGTTGCTTGACCTAAGCTCCTTTCTCTTCCTATGGTCTCTGTTCTACCCAATGTGATTGTCCTGGCTCCATGACCCTCCCAATTTCATCCTCATCCCCTCATCTAAGGACAACAGGTCAAACTATCCCAGGGCTCTCAATTCTGCCACCTGGCCTTTATTCCTTACAGCTATCTGGGGTCCTGCCTTCCCGGCTCTCTCAGTCTTCCTGACCTCACTCATCCAAACAAAGCCAAATTAAGGAGCCCTGCTTTCAACTGGGCAGCAGCAGCTGTTCCATATTACAGACAGCCACAAGCAGGCTGAAGTCTGGAAAAAAGAATGGCACCACAAGAGCTCTCCTGTGTGTTCATGTGGGAGAGGCCCCTGCAGCGTGACATTTCTACATCACCATGCTCAGAAATATTCATGGCTCAAGGGCCCCTTGACAGACCACTGGTGGGTCAGGAAAAAAAGGTCAGAGGAGGATGGGCTCATCCCTACCCAGGATACTCTTGGGGCCTCTCTTGTCATGCTGGCCATGGCTTCAGAGTCCAGTCTCCCTAGCAACAAGAAGCCAAAAGTCCTCCTGAGTACGAAGGGGGAAGACAATAAACGGGGAAAAGGAAGGACAGGGAGAAACAGGAGGAAGCTGTCTATTGAGCGTTCTCACTCTGCAGCTTCCTGGAGACTTCCAGAATGACAAGTGCCACAAGACTACATGAAAGTGACCTAGGCCTCCCAAGCCCTGAAGGATGACGGGCATGGGACACTGTGGCAGATCAGAAGGAGCCATTAGCAGTAGATGAGCTGGCATTCACACTTGGCCTGAAAACCAGGAAGGAATGCTGAGCCTCAGCCCAGCCATGTTCACTTGCAGAGCCTGGCCAGCTCATGTGCTGGGTGTGGTTGGCTGTCACTGAACATGCCCGATGGGAGGCAGCTTTTTGACAAATGCTTTGAAAGAACTCCCCTCTAGCCCACAAGCCCTCTGGCTTAGAAAAGGACACCCCTGAACACCTCTTTCAGGCAAATGATCAGTTAGAATAACAACACCTTCTCAGAGTACTTAAGTGAGATTCTAGCCATAGTATGAATGTTGGACAGCAGAGGGCTGCACTCTGTCCACATCTCTTAGAGCCGCAGGCTCACCACCATGAACTAACAACTTAGCTATAAGCTTAGAAGTAGCAACATGGTGACATCATCCCAAGAAAACCTTTTACAGCTGCAGACTCTTCTAGCCAATATTCTGTGCCTTGCAGCATAGTGTCCTGTTTGCCTAAAACCCAGCCAAAAAGGAAGGGCAAGCCATCTACTTTGTGGGGTCCTCCATCTGCATCCAGTAAAGAAACACTTTAGATGGGGAGACTTCCAGAAAAACACCACCAAAGTAATTTTAAAAATTTGCTGAGCCAGGCTCCTCGAGGATGAATAACAGGAACCTGAATACATATACAGCCTTCTCCTGGCCACTTAGGGAAGGTGGTAAGTGCTGAGAACAGCAGGATAGAAACACGTGGGAAACGAAAACGGGGGGGGGATCAGGCAAGGAGTCTTCCACATAAACCCAGAAGCAGCAATTGTCACAAGCTGGGAAGCAAAGTTGTAGCACCAGGCAAGGCAGTGGCCCTAGGTTGGTTATGTCCAAAGGTGTAAATCTCCACGTCTTAGTTGGGTTTCTATTGTTGTGCTAAAAAAAAAAAAACATAATAAAAAGCAACTTGGCAAGGAAAAGATTTATTTCAGCTTACAGTTCCATACCACAGTCCAGCACTGAAGGAAGTCAGAGAAGAAGCTCAAGCCGGAAGCAAGAACTAATATGAACATTCAGGCGTGCTGCTTGCCTGCTTGCTTGCTCCCCACGCTTGCTGACCTCCTTCATATAGCACCCTGGATCACCAGTCTAGAGGTGGCAACAGTGAGCTGGGCTCTCCCATATCATTTGTTGATTAAGAAAATAAACCAGTCTAATCTGGTGTGGTTATGTTTTCAAGTGATGTTCCCAGATGACTCTAGATTGTTGCGAGCTAACATAAAATTAACCAACGGGGCTTGAGAGATGGCTCAGAAGTTAAGAGCACTTGCTGCTCTTGCAGAGGACTCAGGTTTAGTTCCCAGAATGCACATAGTGACCTACACGACATATAACTCCAGTCCCAAGGGATCTAATACCCTCTTCTAGCCTCTCTGGACACCAGGAATACACACAGAACATGTACATACATATAAACACTCATAAAATAAAATACTTAAGTCATTTTAGCTAGGTAGTGGCACATGCCTTTAATCCCAGTACCTAAAAAGCCAAGGCAGACAGATCTCTGTGAGTTCCAGGACAGTCAGGGCGACACACAGAGCGGCTCTGTCTGGAAAAAAAAACTAAAATAAAATAAAGTAAAATAATAAAAGTTAACCAACACAACTGACCAGTTGTCAACCTAATACACAAACACATCACTGTTAAACCATAACCTTTCCTTTCTTGTTGTCCCCAAGATGTCATCAATACCAATATCACAATATAAAACACATTCCAAACTCTGAAAGTTCTAGTCTTTAAAAATTCAAAAGACTTTAAAAGTCTTGTCTCTTTAAAATATTCATGATCTCTCTAAAACTCCAAAGTCTAGGCTCACACTTCAATGCTCACAGGAATCAAGGGAAAGTGGAGGATCATTTCCTCTATGCATCATCTCACAGCTCATTATCCAGTTTCTTCTAGTGGCTACCTCCTTAAAGCAGGGCTTCCTTAATGCAGGTCAGCTGCCTGGACAGCCACAGAAGCCAGAGTCTGGAGAAAGAGGTACTGGGGTAAACACACCACTCAAATCAAATTCTTTAGGAGCTGTCTGTGGGAGATCTCAACTCCCACAGTAAAGGCCAAAGTCCAAAGCCAAGCCCATATCCACAGAGTTCCACCATGACATACATGGCAGTGCTGCTTAGGGTCCACTGTGGGAGACAGCATTCCAAGCTGTATTCATGCTTGCAAGGCTATGCTGGGAGACTGGCCAGTGTGTCTCCTGCACTGCATAGACCAGTGTTGATAATGCAGCTCAGGTCCTCCTTCCTAACACAGAAATAGAGAAAGCCAGGAAACAGAAATCCAAATACAAGCCTTCAGTTCACTCACATAAAATCAGTAAGACACTTTTTCTTTTCTCTTTCTTTTCTTTCTCCCTCTTCTTTTCTTTGTTTCTGTTTCTTTCTTTCTTTCTCTTACTTAGTTGGCCTTGAATTCACTGAGATCCACCTGTCTCTGCCTTCTGAGTGCTGGAATTAAAAGTGTGCTCCTCCATGTCAGGCCC